ATCTGAACCATATCTCAAATTTCAACATAGCACTTTTTTCCAATATTTGAGATCTATGTATATGTGTGTATGTGTGGTGTATACACATATGTGTGTGTGTGTGTTTATCTATATATTTTGCATTTGATACATATATCAATGTATATAACCATTGAGTCAACTCTGTTACCAACCTTATAGGTCAGAGTAAAATTGGGTTCCAAGGTTATAATCTTTACAAGAGCAGACTGCCACATCTTTCTTCCATGGAGCAGCTGGTGGGTTTGAACTGCTGACCTTTCAGTTAGCAGTTGAGCACTTAATCATGATACCACCAGGGTTCCATATATATGTATTTATGTATATGTGTATATATAACTCACCGCGGTTGAGTCGATTTGACTCATAGTGACCCCTCCTTGGGTTTCCGAGGCAGTATCTCTATGGAAATAGATTGCCCAATCTTCCTTCTGAAGAGTGGCTGGTGGGTTTGAACCACCAGCCTTCTGGTTAGTAATCGAATGTGTGTGTATGTGTGTGTGTGTGTGTGTGTGTATGCCACTGTATATATGTATGTTACATACACATATATATTTGATATATATAACACCTATATACATTTGATATATATATCAAATATAAAACCCCCCAAAAATAAAATAAAAATATCAAACCCACTGCCACTGAGTTGATTCTGACTCATAGGGACCTTACAGGACAAAGCAGAATTGCCCCATAGGGTTTCCAAGACTGTAAATCTTTTTTTGGGAGTTCTGGTAGCATAGTGGCTAAGGCACTTGACTGCTAACCAGAAGGCTGGCGGTTCAAACCCACCAGCCACTCCTCGGAAGGAAGGTGGGGCAATCTACTTCCATAGTGATACTGCCTCGGAAACCCAAGGAGGGGTCGATATGAGTCAGGTCTGACTCGACGGCACATAACAACAACAACAACAAATCTTTTTGGAAGCAGGCTGTCCCATCTTTTTTCTGTGAAGTGGCTGGTGGGTTTAAACTGTTGACCCTTTGGTTAGCAGCTGAATGCTTTAACCATTGTACAACCAGAGCTCCTATAGAAAATATTCATATATACATATATCTATGCATTCATACATGGAACTCAAATATATGCTAATGTTCAAAATATAGTTCAGAAAGCAGTTTCATCATGTATATGTATGTATATGTGTATATCTATATATCTATATATATATCTATATATATATATATATCTTATATTTGAATATTTTAAAATCTTTCCTTTCACTTCATTTTCTTTTTGAAAATTATAAAAAGCTTGAGTAAGATATTAAGAAAAACTAACCTACAAGAAAGAAAATTTCTTTAACTATCTTAACCATTTTTGTTGAACAAAAATTGTTGGCTTCAACTTTAGTTGTGGATCAAAGTCTGTGTGGCACAATGACCACCTAGTGAAGGAATAGGCAGGAGGGAATACCTAGTCTATACATACACTGTTCCCCTTAGTCAGCCTCTGGGGGCCTCTGAAAATCCTCTCTAAAACCTACTGCCACAGAGTCAATTCCAACTCATAGTGACCCCTACTGGGTTTCCAAGGTGGTAAGTCTTTACGGAAGTAGTTCGATCCATCTTCCTTTGGTGGAGTGGCTGCTGGGTTTGAATTGCCAGTCTCTTGGTTAGCAGTCAAATGCCTTAGGCCCTGTGTCATCACAGCACCTTGAAAATCCTTTCTGGCTATCATCTATAACAGTACACTGCTTAATTCCTTTGTCAATTTCAGTTACTCCAAGTACTAAAGTCAAAACTTGACCCTTTTTTAATGTCTGGATACTACCCAGCCTTCTTTTTCACCAGTTAATGGATTCCTAATTTCTCATCTACGCTCACAAAACTTTCTAGGCTTCTCTGTCTCTCCAGTCCTTAATTATAATACTCTAGTAACAAACATTCTGAAAAGTAGACCAGGCTTTTCTTTGTCCAGGAACTTTATGTGCCTTGTCATGAGCCACGGGCATACACCCAGTGAAACCTGTGACAGCCAGAACTTGACAAAACTGTCTTGCTTTTCCAGGCCTGGCAAGTTTTCACCTTTGACAGGGTACAGTCTTACTCTTGTGTATCCTCTTTATCAGGGAAAAACACTTGCATCTTCCTTCTCTGACAGGTTTCCCCCTTACCTAGGTTCTGGCTATCACAAGTTTTACTGTACATCCCACCTTGTTCCCCAAAAGATTAAATAAACTGGCATGCAAAAGGTAAAGCAAACCAGCAATTCCCTGACAACCCCAAACGACTAATTCAACCAAGTTGACAAAATGAGGAGGGAGATATGCCAAATAAAAAACTAAGGAAAGATAGTGGGAAAGAGAGAATCTGTACGTGGTCATTCATGCCTGTCCTCTTTGGACATGAATAGATTTTACTGTAGTATCAACATGGGCAATAGCAGGCAGTTAAGCAAGATAGGCAAAATACTTACAACTGGATAAAAATGACAGTCAAGTAAAGAGACTCTAAGTTCTCTAGGGTATGTGTGTGT